CCTACTCAACATAGGAATTCAATTTACAACATGATGGGATGGAAATACTAGTGGATTGGGTGGGGGAGGCCCAGATTTTGATTTCGGCTTTTAAATTTACTATTTATGAGACCTTGAACATGTCAGGCTCTTTGATCTCTGTTGCCTTATCTAGTGTAACAAAAGATCCTCAGGAGAATCAAGATTATGTATATGATAGCATTTGAATATTATTAAGCACTATAAATGTGTGAGATATTTTATTATTGTATTATATTTTATATTATATTGTATTATTAATACAATTGGTCCTTCAAACTCACAGCTTAAAAATATCATGAGAATAATGGATTTTTGGTGAAACAATTTTTAGTAAAATCAAGAGACAATTAAAAATCTACCTTTCTAATATTTTTATTATGTGTGACATTTGTTTATATTTCTATAGCTAAGAGGAAAATTATGTGTAACAAATAATCAAATAAATCCTAAAGTTCAACAGAGATTGTATGGGACAAGGAGAAACTATGAATTAGCTTAACCCAATTTATCAAGTTAATCACACTTAATTATAATTATACCATATTTCCTAAGCTGCATAATGTATCACTTTTTAAATATGAGTTTCCTGATGATCAAAAAATTTTATTTTTTTTATATACAAGCATACCTTGGAGATATTATGGGTTTGGTCCCAGACCACTACAAAAAAGTAAATATTTCAGTAAATAAAGTCACATGAATTTTTTGATTTCCCAGTGCATATAAAACTTATGTTCACACTCTACTCAGCTCTACTGACTGTGCAATAGCATTATGTCTAAAAATATATATGTACCTTAATTTAAAATACTTTATTGCTAAAAAATGCTAACTAATAATCATCTGAGCCTTAACTAAATTGTAATCTTTTTGCTGGAGAAGGGTGTTGCCTCGATGTTGATGGCTGCAGGCTGACCAGGTTGGTGGTTGCTGAAGGGTGGGGTGCCTGTTGCAATTTAAAAAAATAAGACAACAATGAAGTTTCCTGCATTGATTGAGTCTTCCTTTGACAACAGATTTCTCTCCAGCATGCAATACTGTTAGACAGCATTTTACCTACCGTAGAACTTCTTTCAAAATTGGAGTCAATTCTCTCAAAATCTCTGCTGCTTTATCAACTAAGCTTATGTAATATTTTGAATCCTTTATTGTTATTTCAACAAAGTTCACAGCATCTTCACCAGGAGTAGATTTCATCTCAAGGAACCACTTTCTTTGCTCATCTATAAGAAGCAACACCTCATCTGTTCAGGTCTGATTATGACATTGCAGCAACTCAATCACATCTTTGGGCTCCATTTCTAAATCTAGTTCTCTTGCTGTTCACACTACATCTACAGTTACTTCCTCCACTTAAGTCTTAAATCCATCAAAGTCATCCATGAGGGCTGGAATCAACATCTTCCAAACTCCTGTTAATGTTGATATTTTGACCTCCTACCACAAATCATGAATGTTCTTAATGGCATCTAAAATGGTGACTCCTTTCCAGAAGATTTTCAACATACTTTGCCCAGATCTATCAGAGGAATCACTGTCCATGGCAGATATAGCCTTACCAAATGTATTTCTTAAATAATAAGACTTGAAAGTTGAAATCACTCCTTGATATGGGCTGCAGAATGGATGTTGAATTAGCAGGCATGAAAACAACATTCATCTCCTTGTACATTGCCACCAGAGCTCTTGGGTGACCAGGAACATTGTCAATGAGCATTCATATTTTGAAAGGAATCTTTTTTTTTTTTCCTTGAGAATAGGCCTCAACAGTGGGCTTAAAATATTCAGTAAACCATGTTGTAAACAGATGTGCTGCCATCCAGGCTTTGTCGTTCCATTTACAGAGCACAGGCGGAGTAGATTTAGCATCAATCTGAAGGGCCCCAGGATTTTCAGAATGGTAAATGAGCAAAGGCTACAACTTAAGGTCACCAGCTGTAGTAACCCCTAACAGGAGAGTCAGCCTGTCCTTTAATGTTTTGAAAGCCAGGCATTGACTTCTCTCTAGCTATGAAGAGTCCCAGATGGCATCTCCTTCCAATAGAAGGCTGTTTTGTCTACATGGAAAATTTGTTGTTTGGTGTATCTGCCTTCCCCAACCAGCTTAACTAGTTATCCTAACAAGTTATCTTCTGCATAACTTGCTGCAGCTTCTACACCAACACTTGCTGCTTCACCTTGCACTTTTATGTTAAGGACATCGCTTCTTTTCTTAAACCTCATGAACCAACCTCTGCTAGCTTCAGACTTTTCTTCTGCAGTTTCCTCCCCTCCCTCAGCCTTTATAGAATTCAAGAGTTAGGGCCTTGCTCTGGATTAGGCTTTGGCTTAAGGGAATGTTGTGACTGGTTTGATCTTGTATCCAGACCATGTAAACTTTCTCCACATCAACAACAAGGCTGTTTTGCTTTCATATCATTTGTGTGTTCACTGGAGTAACACTGTTAATTCCCTTTAAAAACTTTTCCTTTGCATTCACAACTTGGCTAACTTTCGGCCTATCTCCACTTTTGAAATACCTTCTCATTAAGCTTAATCATTTCTAGCTTTTGACTTAAAATGAGAGACATGTGACTCTCCCTTTCACTTGACCATTTAGAGGCCATTCTGGGGCTATTCATTGGCCTAATTCCAATATTGTTGTGTTTCAGGGAATAGGGAGGGCAAGAGATGTTGGAACGGTAGGCGGAGTGGTTAGAACACACACAACATTTATTAAGTTCACGGTCCGTGGTACCTCCAAACAATTACAACAGTAACATCAAAGATCACCATAACAGATATAATAAAAATGAAAAAGCTCAAAATATTGCGAGAATTGCCAGAAGGTAGCACAGAGACACAACATGAGCAC